TGTATGTTTCATTGTTGCTATACTGCACGCTGACTAGCTCATCTCCTCCCCCTGACCCTTCTGTAAGGGGGTGTCTGTTACCTACAGACTGGCTTTGGGTCTCCACTCTGCACTCCCCCTCATTCACATTGATATGATTTTTTGCTCTGGGACTTTGATGCTTGATACCTGATCCTATCGACACCTCGTGATCACACAGGCTGGTGTGCTTCTTCCATGTGGGCTTTGTTGCTTCTCAGCTAGATGGCCGCTTGTTTATCTTCAACCCTTTTAAAACCCCAGACACTATATCTTTTGATAGCCAGGCACCATCAGCTTTCTCCACCACACTTGCTATGCACCCAGGTTGTCTTCTGCGATTGTGTTGGGAAGGTGAGCATCACAGAATGCCAGGTTATTAGAACAAAGTGTTCTTGCATTGAGGGAGTGCTTGAGTAGAGGCCCAATGTCCATCTTTCCATGTGACATTAAGGATATTGTTGGATAATTTTCACATTCTGGTTGATCACCATTTTGATTGGCCAGACACTTGGCTGTATTTTAAAAATCTTGGCGTAGATGAGTGACTGCTTCCAATAGCCCATCAGTTCTTGGAGATCTGTTTTTGACCATGCCCTCAGTGCGGCTTGGACGCCTTCCTTCAAGACCAACCTCTTGAAACGGTTGAATGCTGACCCGTGTTTTTTTTCTTTTAGGAAAGTGATTCTGTGTATTCCTCCCATCTTCCTTCATGTTTCTTGGATCATTCAATACTTTGCCCATTGATTCCTTCAAGATTGCAACATGAGGCTTGATTTTTTTTTCTTCCGTTTTTCAGCTTGAGAAATACTTGAGTGTGTTCGTGCTTTTTGGCTTTTCTAGCCCGAGATCTTTGTGCATTTCATTTGAATACTTCTTGACTTGCCCCTTGAAATTGTCTGGTCAACTCTTTTCAGTCATCCTTTCTTTCTAGTCCCTTTACCTTTTCTACAGAGTTAGTGCTGGCATTCACTTTGGTCTCTTTTTTTATTCCTGACCATGTAGATAGTAGTCATTTATGTTATTAAAAAATCTATTTGCCATGAAGAAGTTGTTGTTCTTGCAAAATTTTATCAAACTCACTGCCATACAGTCAGTCCCAAATCCCAGTGGCCATGTAGGATGGAGTAGAGCTGTCCCTGTCCGTTTCTGAGACCGTAAATCTTTATGAGAGCGAACAGCCTCCTTTTTCTCCCACAGAGCAGATGACAGGTTCAAACTGCTGACCTTGTGGTTAGCGGTCCAGTGTGTAGTCCACTATGCCACTAGGGCTCCTTATTTTAATGTTGTGGTTTTGTAACATGTTTTAACACATGAAAAATGCAGTCCCTTACCACTGCTCTTTTTTCAGTTTGTCTAGTTAAGAAAACATTGTACTATGTAAGCATTATTTTTAATGCATGTCTTATATAATCTGTAATATTAATTATTTAAATGTATACTTGGAACTTGCTGAGGTGGGAAAGGACTTCTCTCTCTTTTTTTAATAGTTCATTTACTTTGGTGTAGGGTTAGGGACTAATTCTTTATAAAAGCATTAACTTACTTATATCTCAAGGATTTGGTATTCATATGAAGCTTGATTTGGCTTGCATGCAGCTTTTTTTTTTTTTTTTTTGCCCAGGACAGCTTTATCTCAGACTAGGCCATGAACTCCTAGGGGGTGGGCTCCAGCAGCTCGGGCTCCTTCCCAATGGTCCGCACAAAGTGGGCCTCTCGTGGAGGGGCAGGCTGGCGCTTCAGCTGCACCCCGGTGCCCTTCTCCTTGGCCTCCTCCTTCTTCTGGTCGTTCAGGAAGCTGTCCTGGCTCTTGGCTCTTCGAGTGCTGAATGTGCTCAGTGCGTACCTTGGTGCTCGTGGCGAGGATCTTGCTCTTGACTTGCTTGCTCACAACAATGCGATGGCGTGCTGGGTCACGTTGTAGACACGTCCGTTTTTGCCGTGGTCACATTTATGCGGCCTCCCCTTCTGAACAGTGCCCATGCCCTTGATGTCCACAATGTCACCTTTCCTGTAGATTCGCATGTACGTGGCCAGGGGAACGATGCCGTGCTTCCTGAAGGGCCTGGAGAACACGTGCGGGTGGCCCTCCTCTTTCCCTTGGTGTTCCTCATTTTGGCAGGTTGATAGCAGTTCGGGTCGAGAGGCGCATGCAGCTTTTTAAAGCAACACTTCACTAAGATTCAGCAGTAGTACATAGAATAAATAGCAGTAGTAAAATAGCATTTCCCATCTCTTTGTTATGCATAATGTTTGTGTTCTAGTATAAAGAGGTGCTCGTGTTGTTAAAGGTTTTTAAATATCTTTTCATATTTTCTCAGTTTCTTAATATTGTGGTAAAGCAGAATTAAAAAAACTTTTAAAAAAAGGACTTTAAATTATTAGCTAATTTTAGGGTTGATTTGCACCCTGTGATTCTCCTCATTGTAACAACATGCTTAAAATTCAGTGGGTCTAAGAACAAAGACCCTTATTGGTGTAGTGGTTACAGAATGGGCTGCTAACCTCAAGGCCAGCAGCTAGAAGCCACCATCTCCTTCGTGGGAGAAAGGTGAGGCTTTCTGCTCTCATAACGAGTTACAGTCTTGGGAATCCACAGGGGCAGTTCTAACCTGTCTTATAAACTCACTGTGATTCAGGATTAACTCAACAGCAGTGAGTGAAGAGAAAGGAGGGGTGATGAGATCTTTTTTTAAAGTAGGTGATGCACTTATTGCTCACACTCTCTCCAGATCGCAAATTCCCCATTTTTAAAATAAAGGAGTTGTTCTTAGATGTGTTGAAGATCTCTCATTTTATTGTCAATGGTTCTGCCCCGTCAATGGTCCTAATTCTGGGCCTCGTGATCTGGCACAAACAATTGCTTCACTACGAGGAAGTAAGTCTTGGGTATATTTGATGATGGCTACTTTTAGTCTATACATGTCCCCTAATGTTTGCCTTTCCTCTTCCGGATAGAGTGTTGCAGCATCACCGCAATGGGATGAAGGATTCCGATGCAAACGTGTGAAGAAAAAGAGAGTGGCGTCATTCCCCCTTCTGGAAGAGGAGGAGGATCGTTCGGCTCAACGACTAGTACCAGCTGCAGAAGCACTGCGTTTTCAGAGTGGACCTCTGTCAAAGCCACCGGCTTTACCCGGAAAAACAGACAGGAAAGCCACACTTAAGATATTCTCTTTACCCATGAAAAAGGCTGCTAAGAGTCAACAGGGCTTTTGGGGGGCTGCTTCATCGGTGCCCCGAGCTGGCTCTCACTACAGTCTTTCCCACGTGCCTACTAGTCCCAACCAGTCTGGTCTATCTGAATACGGTCAAGACGTAGAGACTGATAACACTGGCCCTCCCTTTAAGTTGCCTTCCAACTTGCGTCTCTCATGCCCCCCTAGTACAGATCCTGCTGGTTCTCCTCCTTTGTTTTGCTTCATGGAACTTCTGAATCCTTGGGATTGTCGGCTTGAGTCTTCCCATCTCAGCCCACTTGATCTGTCTCAAGCTGATCACGACCTTGAGATGGGTAATGCTGACATTCCCGGTAAGATGGTTGTGCCTGTCCCGAGCCCACAGCCAGCACCCAGCCTGCCTCTCCGGAGCCCACGTCTTCCAGCTCCCAAATGTCTTTTCTTGGCCCAATCCACTGCACTCGGGGGTCTTTCCCCAGTCCCATCCCTTCCACTCAGCATGTCACCCCCACCTCCTGTCCCTGGTGCAGGTGGTATGCCCCCGCCCCCACCTCCTGTCCCTGGTGCAGTTGGCATGCCCCCACCCCCACCTTTTGTCCCTGGTGCAGGTGGTATGCCCCTGCCCCCACCTCCTCTCCCGGGTGCAAGTGGTATTACCCCGCTCCCACCTCCTCTTCCTGGTGCAGGTGGCATTCTCCCGCCCCCACTTCTTGCAACTGGCATACTACCCCTACCTCCTGCACTTGGCCGTACTTCCAGGCCCCCACCTCCACCACCCAGCCGCCTTCTCCAAGCCACAGGTGCATCTCCTCCTTTTCCAGGTGCCTTGTTTGGCTCTAAACAACTTAAAACTGAGCAACTTGGAATTTCCAGAAAACTTGAGGCCTATGGCTCTCCTTCTCTCTTAAAAGAGTACTCTCCTTCCAGTCCGGCTAGTGCAAGCTTTTCTCCTTTTGATTCACCCGAAGAAGTATTTGATAGTGTTTGTTGCGCATTGTCTGTACCTGATGTTGCTGATGGATTTGGATCTCCCCAACACTCTCCCCCCGGAGGACGTGCTCCTTTTGTACCCCCTTGCAGTGGCTCCAGTCTTTTCTCGATTGGTGAACGTTCTGAAACAGAAAGTAACAAAAAGCCAATACGTCCCGCACGTAGTTTTTTTAAAAGCGTTGCCATCTCTGGAGGAAGAAGAAGTTGTTCTATGCCCATCTTCCAGTCACAAAACGAGGAGAAAGACAATGTCTACCAACAGAGCCCGGGGGACTTGAAGCCTTGGACCAGACTCTTCAGTCTACAAACTGAGGTACCAGTCTTATTTCTCCTAAAGTCTGTGGTTTCGTGAGCTTCCTTGTTCAGAACAGTACGACTCAGAGTATCACTTGAAGAAGATCAAGTGCAGTCTCAAAGCAGTCTGTGAACTGTTTACGACTAGTCCCTGTGAGATAAGGACTTGGGCCAGGCTATGAATGGACAGAGGTTTCCTTTCCTCCAGGAAACCATGCGACAACGAAATAAACCACTGAGCTAAAAAAGGCATGTAATGTGTGTCTCTGTTAACTGGAACATCATGGTCACTCACTACCGTTGAGTCAAATCCAGATGCATGGCAAACACCACCGTGTGAATGAGAATTACGTCTCTGCCCAGTAAGATCGTGATTTCCAAGGCTCTAGAACGAGGCCGCAGCCATGAGCTCAAGCAAAGGGACAAGTGTGAGGATGGTACAGGACAGGCAGGGTTTTGTTCTGTTGTACGTGGGTCGGAACTGACTCCGTAGCACCTAACCGAACAACAACGGCCTCGCTATCTTTCTCTCTCAGCATTGTGATACGAGCAGATGCTTTTTAGTATTGCAATGCTTTTATTTATTATTTATTTATTTGCAGTGCTTTTAAATTCATCGAGGCTACTTTGTCACCGAATAGGCCATGTGCTCTGGAGAAGAATACATTATGTTCTTTTTGGGTGGAGTATTTGGTTATACCGATGAGGTCAAGTTGGAGTAGCTGGTGGGTTTGAACTACTGGCCTTTATGGTTTGTACTCCAAATCTTGATGGATAGCACCACCAGGCAAAAAAGGATCATGATGTTAAAAGATTGGCGCCAGAGGGGTCTCGGGCAGGAGACAAGGCAGACAGGGTACAGTGTAGCAACGATGAAAAATACAACTTTCCTCTAGTTCCTAAATGCTTCCTCCCCCCACCACCACTATCATGATCCAAATTCTACCTTGCAAGTTTGGTAGACCAGAGGATGGACACTGGTACAGATAGGAACTGAAAATCCAGGGAATCCAGGGTGGATGATCCCTTCAGGACCAGTGGTGAGAGTGGTGGTACTAGGAGCATAGAGGGAGACTGGGTTGGAAAGGGGGAACCGATCCCAAGGATCTACATGTGACCTCCTCCCTGGGGGATGGACAACAGAAAAGTGAGTGAAGGGAGACGTTGGACAGGGCAAGATATGCAAAATAATAATTTGTAAATTATCAAGGGCTCATGAGGGAGGGGAGAGCGGGGAGGGAGGGGGGAAATGAGGACCTAATGCTGGGGGCTGAAGTGGAGAGCAAATGTTTTGAGAACGATGAGGGCAATGAATGTACAAATGCACTTTACACAATTGATGTATGTATGGATTGTGATAAGAGTTGTAGGAGCCCCTAATAAAACGATTTAAAAAATTGGCGAACGTTGTTTGAAAGCGTTGCTGGAGCAAGGGAACGGAGACTGCTCTTTCCTTCTTTCTTTTTAAAGATCATCTTATTGGGGGCTCTGCCACTTTCAAACTCTCTACACATTGCCTTCTTTCCAAGTTTCATCATAAATACCTCTATGGCTGGGACTTAACCCATACTGTGTCCATAATCTATGAAGAACTTTTGATTCTATGGTAATAAGAATTTTTAGAAAGATTTTAATGAATGGGATTGGAATAATTAAAATCATTTTATTATGTGGCTAAAGTCTAATAAATATGACTTAAATTGATGTTCTTTGTTTCATAGGATGGCTTCTGGAAGCTTACTCTAGAATTGGGGTTTATACTGAAGCTCAAGACAAACTTGTTAAACCGCTTCCTTGAGGAGAAAGGCACCCGGTCCCTAGGTAAGACACTGTCTTTCCAGCATTCGTTCCATAAGATGCTCCTGGTTGCTATATATCATCTTGTAAATTATTGTACTAACACAGTAATTACACAGTAAGTTATATGGAAATGTGGCTCTATTTGTTAACCAGCAAAAGAGGTAGGTGGATTTTATAGTTCGTCCCACACATTTATTAGCATACTCAGTTGTTACTGAGTTTAGCACAACCCAACACTATGAATGGTTTTTCTGTAGTCACATCAGTTTCAAACATTGGTCATCAAGAAAATTTCACTCCACAAGGCATTGAGAGACCAGACTCCTTCCAAATTGTGGCTTTTCTACTCTTAGCATGCACCTCTAAAATTGCCCTGTTGAAAAGAAGAGGAGGAGGAAGAGAGCAGGGGTTGGTTGGGGGTGGGTGGTGGGGGAGAGGAAGGAGAGATTACTTGGGCCACATTCACCTGGCAGACAGGGTGAAAAGAGAGAATATATAGCAAGAAATAGCCAAATGCAAAGGGTTGGGGAAATGTCATTTTGTTTTGTGCCCAGGAAGAGAAAATAGACCCTGAGGGGTATCTTGCCAGTGTCTGCCAGAGCAAGCAGTCCAACCTCTGGATACCGCAAATCTTTCTGATCATGAAGGGGATGCACAAGGAGGTCTTAGATAGCTAGCAAGTGGCTTGAAGTTCAAACTCTAGCCCTGAGCTAAGACATATTCTAAATATATATATATAAATCAATGTTATTTATATTATTTTATTTTGCATATAAAATGAATATATGAATATATAGCACAGATAATATTATTTAGTTGGTTTTGTAGATGAACTGAACAGCAAACTGTAACTAGCCTGTCACCACCTCTAAAATATCATAGTTTTCATAATACAGGGTAGATAAGTTAACCGATTCTTAATTAAGAATCGATTCTTAATTCTTAATCTTTCTGACCTGTACTAGACTAAAAAAAAGGGTGATAAATATATGGATGAGGAGATAATCAAGGGACACATGTCATTGGATATATGAGACTAGAGCTGAGGAGAGAGGTCGGAGTGGAGAGACTTCCCGGGAACTGCATGTGTCAGGTGTCATTTGAAGCCAGGGGTCTGGCTAACCTCAACTGCAGAAAGGGGCACGGAGAACAAAGGTGGACACTTCGAGCTTCTTTGGTGAACACCAGTATTTAGTCGCCCGGCAGAACAGGAAACAACACAGAAGAAAGAATCACACTGAGAAACACGGAGCAGAAAATTCAGAGCAAACTAGGCAGCCATTGAGGCTGTCTGCTCCCGTAAAGATTTACCATATCGGAGCCTGTCTAAGGTCAGTACGAGTGGGAAACATCTTGATGGCAGTGTGTTTAGGGAGCTATTTAGGGTTATATATTTGTAGAAGGGCTTTCCGTGTCTTCTCCGTCTGTGGGTGCTTTATGTAACCTGTCCATGATCCCCACCACATTCTTGTCTCTCCTCGGACTGACTTTCCCATTCAGGATAGAGAGGACAGAATAAACTTCAATTTCTTATCCTATCCTATTGTTTACCTAAAGGCCAAGAAAGCTAACAGGTAGAGGATAGTACATTCAAAGTGCCTTCCTTACACACACATACACACAAAATTATGAAGGTGAAGTTTCCCAACAAAACACCAAAATGTTACCAAAATTCTAAATGCTTAACTATTTTAAACAAATACTTTTAATTGTCCTAGTGATTTTAAAACTATAATTGTGCATTTTTATGACTAGCTTATAATTCCTCTTTTAAACGATATTACTTTATGTAAACAAGACATGTACTTTTTCTGTAGTCTCTATAGAAAAAGACTGGAGTTCTGGATGTCATAAAAGATTGGTGTAATTGCACTTATTTTACATAACAGTTTACATTATAGTGAAGCAATGGAAAACATTTTTGTATATGCGTGTCTTTTCCCAACTCAGACTAGTTGAATAAGAAGTTTCATTAAGAGTCAGTTAAACAAAAATTCATATCGATGTGAAGGAGGGAGGGCAGAGTGGAGACCCAAAGCCCCTCTGTAGACACTTGGACATCCCCTCACAGAAGGGTCACAAGGAAGAGACGAGCCAGTCAAGGTGCAGTATGGCACCATAGCACCGACGAAACATACAACTTTCCTCCAGTTCTTTAGCGCTTTCTCCCCCTCCCCCCACTATCATAACCCTAATTCTACCTTATAAATCTGGCTAGACCAGAGGAAGTACACGGGTACAGAGAAGAACTGGAAACACAGGGAATCCAGGGCAGATAAACCCCTCAGGACCAATAATGAGAGTAGCCATACCAGGAGGGGAAAGGGAAGGTGGGTTAGAAAGGGGGAACCGATTACAATGATCTACATATAACCCCCTCCCTGGGGGATGGACAACAAAAAAGTGGGTGAAGGGAGATGTCGGATAGTGTAAGACATGACAAAATAATAATTTATAAATTATCAAAGGTTCATGAGGAAGGTGGGGTGGGGAGGGAGGGCAAACAATGAGAAGCTGATACCAAGGGCTCAAGTAGAAAGAAAATGTTTGAGAACGATGATGGCAACAAATGTGCTTGACACGGTGGATAGATGTATGGATTGTGATAAGAGTTGTACAAGCCCCGAATAAAATGATTTTTAAAAGAAAAGAAAGAAAGAAAGTTGAAGCCTGTCTTATCCGTCATTTCAGATCTAGTAGCATAAAAGCTGGGTTTTCAAAAAGGGTTTCCACAGATTCGAGAACGGGATAGCACAGGACCACCCGTACCTCTGCGATCAGCTGACCAGCTCTCATTCTTTAGCTGAGCATTACACGCTTGAGCTTTCTGGTTAAATCGAGGAAAGGCCTTAATTGATCCAAGAGCCCCAATTACTACTTCAGGTGACAATATCACTGGCTTGGCATGGGACCACCTTTAGGTCCAATATTGGGGAAAAGGAGTGTTCCTCTTGTTAGATCAGCGGTCTCTAGCAGACCTGCAGTGCCCAGTTCCTGGAGGCAGTTCAGTGTAATGGCAATCTCAAATACAGAGCAGATCTGAACAGTTTTCACATTTGAGTTGGTCAACGCTTGCTCAGAATCCAGTGTACTCCCAATATGATGAGAAGCCTGAAGTGTTATTTTCTGGCAGGTTTCAGACACTGAAACCTTAAGGATAGGAGGCTGCAATGATCTCAAGGAAGCAGCCTTAGAAAGAAGGCATAAAGGAGAGCTTAATTCCATGAGCAGCCACAATCGGTTTGAATGCTTCTCATAACTTAACCAGTTCAGTAAGGTCAACCTGATCACAGCGCCAAAGGAGGTAGTTTTCAGGGCTGCAGTCATGTTTTTTTTTTTAATTGACATATTTCCTTATCAGTTTTTTTTTAAACATTTTATTGGGGGCTCATACAACTGTTATCGCACTCCATACACACATCAATTGTGTAAAGCGCATTTGTACTTCATTCTCAAAACATTTTCTCTCCACTTAAACCCTCGACATTAGGTCCTCATTTTCCCTCTCCCTCCCTGCTCCCCCCTCCCTCATGAGCCCCTGATAGTTTATAAATTGGTATTTTGTCATATCTTGCCCTGTCCGACGTCTCCCTTCACCCACTTCTCAGTTGTCCGTCCCCCAGGGAGGAGGTCACATATAGTTTCTTATAATCGGTTCCCTCTTTCCTACCCATTCTCCCTTTACCCTCCCTGTTTCGCCACTCACACCACTGGTCCTGTAGGGCTCATCCGCCCTGGATTCCCTGGATTTTTAGTTCCTATCTGTAGCGGTGTACATCCTCTGGTCTAGCCAGACTTGCAAGGTCGAATTCAAGTCATGGTAGTAGGAGCAGGGAGGAAATATTTAGGAACTAGAGGAAAGTTGTATTTCTCATCGTTGTTACATCGCACCCTGACTGGCTCATCTCCTCCCCGAGACCCCTCTGCAAAGGAATCTCCAGTGGCCTATTAATGGGCTTTGGATCTCCACTCCGCACTCCCCCCATCATTCACTATGGTAAGATTTGCAGTCATGATCTTGACCATTGCTTTGTGAGAGCTTTTTACGAGCTCTCTTCTGTTTTCGCCTGTGACTACTGGAGGTTTGGATATTGGCCTGGAAATGGTCCCTATTCTTGGTTTGGGTGGTGGTAGTAACAGCATGCTTTCGGTGAAGGAGGCAGAAGCGCCAGTCTGTTTCACCAAAGGGTTATCTTTAAGAATCCTGCCATTGTTTTCTGATCCAATGGCTTGCTAAGTATTGTTTTCCATTGCAAGGCAGTGAACTGCAGGAGTTGCCAGTGTTTTGGGGCCTTTTATCTCTGGATGTGTGGGATCCGTCATGGGCCATAACAGGAGTTTCAGCAATATTGTCTTCTGAATCTCTTAAAGCTTCCATCTCTGTATCTGCTAATGGCTTCCCCACAAAGACAACCTCATCTAGATGATAATAGAGTTTTTGACGACCATCATAACCACTAGTGATAGCAGCAGGAGCTTTCTCACTTTGAACGTCACAGATGCTGTCCAATTGAGACACGGTATCTCCCTCTTACATACCATTCTTGAACGCTTACTCCCCTAATCCCTTCTCCAATGTCTGAGAAGTTGAACTGAACAATCTGGGCTGCGAGCCACAAGGCCAGCAGTTCAAAACAAACAGCCTACTCCTGGAAACAGTTACAGTCTTGGAAACCCACAGGGGCAGCTCTACCCTGTCCGACAGGGCTGCTGAGTTGACATTGACTCGATGCAGTGGGTTTGGTCTGGTCTGGTCTGTAGAGAGCAGCAGTTGTCTTCAGTAACTGATGTGAACGGCTCTATTTGATTGAAGGCCAACCAAAGGAACACATAGTTGGGCTTCAAAATATGAACACTGCTCTGTTTGAAAACACCGGACACACGTCAGCCACCTGGCATCCGGGCTCCAGGTTCTCCGCACTCTTGCCACAGTCACGTTACTCGGTCTAGTTCTTTTGGTATGAAATCCATCTTCCGGATTTCCTCCCCCCTCCCCCGCCTCTTTTCAACAATGGCCTCATACTGTATTTGTTTCTATGTGATTGACTAACGTCACTCAGCGGATCTTCCAACTTTATCTATGCCATAAAGTGTTTCAAAGTTTCATCGTTATCCTTCAGCTACCTAGAGCATTCCGTTGTGTATATGTACTGAAGCTTATGTATCCATTCCACCATTGGGCATTTACATTGTTTCCCTCTTCCTGCTGTTACGAATAGCGAGTGCTGCCATAAACAGGGTGTGCGTATATCTGTGCATGTTTGCTCTTATTTCTTAGGGTACATACCAAGTAGACAGACTGTTGGGTCATATGTTCGTGTAGATCTGTTATTATAATGCACATGCCCCTTTGGCTTTTAGCAAAGACAGAGCGAGAGCGATTGTATACTAAAGATGCTCACTCAGGAAAGGGGTGGTTACCGAGCTGTTGCACACACTATTTCAGGCTGTCATATAGCCTCCTCATGACTAGTTTCGGTAACAGTATCCATTGAAGAAGGCACGCAGCCGGAAATGACCTTAATTCTGGCTGGTTTGGGTACTTAAAGAAACTACTGGATAGAAATCCTAAAAGGGGAGAGTAAAAGATGTTACAGAGGCTCATAAAATATTCTTGGGATAAGAAATGGAAATTTTTAAAAAAAGGATTGGAAATGATGACCACTGAATATTCTTCCTCCCCTCATCGAATATTCTTTAATGAACCTGTTTTAAAAGTAATATATATCATAAAAATGTAATTCCTCCCAAACAGGATAATAGTTCAGGATGGCCCCTTTGAAGAGAGAGGGAAGGCAAATGGGTCTTAGGGGAGATAGAAAAGGGGACTCCAACTTCATAATGACTTGAGAATTTTGTTGCTTTTATTTTAAGAAATTTAAGGCTGATGGCAGGAAATGGTAAGAATTGACAAGCTGGGGGAGGATGGGATAGTCATTCCACTTTTCTGTGTGCTTGAACAATTCTGTAACCAAGTGAAACAATGCATCTGTGTTATAAAGACACAGGCAGTGCTATATCCCATGCACCTTATATGGAAATTTAGAGATTTACCTTATAGAAATCTAATGCCTCTAACATTAATGATACTATATGTGAAATGCTTGAATAAGACTAGCACTATGAAATCGGTCACTGGAAAAATAAGAATATTTCAAAATTATTGGTTTATCTTTTAAAATTATTTAAGAAAAAATAAAATAAAAAATAAAGTGAGTTTGAATGTGTAACTTATATTATTTTGGAAATAGCTTCTGGGTTCACTCTATGTAAATGCTTGTTTTCAATTTGGATGCTTTATAATATACTAAATATCTTGATTTGCTGAAGATAGAAATCGTGTGATACACTGGCAGAATCAGCCATGTCTGTTGTATACTTTTTATAGTTTTCATCTCCTGTGTACTTAAAGTTTTCTCTTATTTGTAGCAAGAACTCAGGAACAGATTTTCTTTTATCATACTTCATGCCTACTGATTATTGCAACACCTGATGTACAGCAGAACAAGCCATGGCCTGATCCTGCACCAGCCTCACAGTCACTGCTGTGCTTGAACCAGTGTAGTAGCAACTGTATCAGTCCATCTGACTGAGCAACTTCCTCTTTTTTGACCCTCAACTTCCCCAAACATAATGTCCTTTTCCAGTTCACCCTTGATAACATTTCAAAAAAAAAAAAATCAAACTCTGACTCATAGTGACTCCATAGGATAGAACTGTCCCTGTGGGTTTACAAGACTACAACTCCTTATGGGGATAGAGAGCCCATTCCTTCTCCTGCAGAATGGCTGGTGGTTTCAAACTGCTGACCTTGCAGATTGCAACCCAAACTATAACCACTAAGCCACAGGATTCCACAGGCTGATAAGGAGTCTCTAGCCTCACTTCTATGGGACATACTTTGGCTAAAGAACAAACCTGGCTTCTTCCAGGACTGGTATGTTCCAGCAGCCAGTTGTACATTCAATATTCTTTGCCATTTTTAGTTTCCTAAAAACCTACTGCACATGCCCCATTCTTCTTCACTTTTTAATTGAATGGTAGACTCGTGAAGGGCCACGAGGATATTAGAGTTCTATGATCTGCTAATGCTTTGCCATTTGCAAGTATATAATTCTTTCGTAGAATGTTTATGCATGGGCACTTTTGAGAGACTGTTTTAAGCAGACCTGAGGGATGTCTGGGTTGTGTCTCCCTTCAGGTGAGAGAGGACAAGAACGCCTCCTGCGCCTGATTGCCACACTCCTCGTGCTGCAGTTTCTCCGCACCAAGCTGGAGAGCGAAGGCATAGTCTTCAAATCGCTGATGAAATTAGATGATACTTGCATGTCCAGGTAGCTCTATAAACTTTATTAAACTTTTTTATTTTCAACCATCTCCTAATTAACTCTTGTGAAGAAGGCTACATGGAATAATCTTACATGTATACAGGGCTTGATAGCTCTAAACTGACACTGTGTTTTCCGCGAAGGTTGATGTAGCGATTCAGGTTTCTAGTCAACCGTTTCTTTCTTTCTTTTAATCATTTTATTGGGGGCTTGTACAGCTCTTATCACAACCCATCCACCCATCCAGCGTGTCAATCACATTTGTACATAGGTTGCCATCATCATTTTCAAAACCTTTCCTTTCTACTTGAGTCCTTGGTATCAGCTCCTCATTTTTCTCCTCCCTGCCCATTCCGCTCCCCCATGAACCCTTGATAATTTATAAATTATTATTTTTGTCTTACAATGACCGTTGTCTCCCTTCACCCAATTTTCTATTGTCCATCCCCCTGGGAGGGGGTTATAGATAGATCATTGTGATCGGTTCCCCCTTTCTACCCCGACCTTCCCCTTCCCCTCCTGGTATGACTACTCTCATTATTGGTCCTAAGGGGGTATCTGTCCTGGATTCCCTGTGTTCCAAGCCCTTATCTGTACCCGTGTACATGCTCTGGTCTAGCTGGATTTGTAAGGCAGAATTGGGGTTATGATAGTGGTGGGGAGGAAGCATTTAGGAACTAGAGGAAAGCTGTATGTGTCATCGGTGCTACACTGTACCCCAACTGGCTCATCATATTCCACCATTTCTCCACAAACTGTTCGGTGACTTGGGCTTGCTTCCTCACAGTGCGTGAACATCCTCATCATTTCCCTTCCTGTTATTCCAGCCTGTTGGTTTGGTTTCCCGCCCCCTGGCATGCTCATCTGTGTTTTAACGTAATTGTTGGTCATTTGCTATCATCTAGGTCAGCAGTTCTCAACCTGTGGGTCACAACCCCTTGTAGGGGTCAAACGACCCTTTCACAGAGGTCACCTGATTCATAACAGTAGCAAAATGACAGTGATGAAGTAGCAACGAAAATAATTGTATGGTTGGGGGGCCACCACCACAGGAGGAACTGTATGAAAGGGTGGTGGCATTAGGAAGGTGGAGAACCACTGCTCTGAGGTGTTTGGGGAACCCATTTTTCCTCATGAGATAGGTGTCACACATCTTACTTCTCCATTCTTCCAGGGGTGGTGAGCATTTAGGGAGGTATTGTCTGTCCACTGTTGGGAATGGTACTGTGATGAGCATAGGTTGCATGTATCTATTTGTGACACTTCTATTGGATCCCTACGGTGTACGTGTATGAGTAGGGTCACATAGCAGCTCTGCCACTCATTTTTGGAGGAACTGCCAGACTTTATTCCACAATGGCTGCCCCACTGTGCCCTCCCACCAGCAATGGACGAGAGCCCCAGTTTCTCTGCATCCCATCCAACATTTGTTAGCTTCTAGGTTGTTGTTGTTTGTCTCAACCATCCTCATGGACATGAAGTGGTACTCCACTGTGGTTTTGGTTTGCATTTCTCTGATGGCTAATGATCTTCAGCATCCTTTTATATGTC